ATATATATATATATTCTGCATGTAGTTTTCCATCAATATATGGAGCTGTTTCAGCAGAATACTAATTTCTCTTCACATCTCTCTGAATTTGAAGTCCAGCATTAAGAAGTCAGATGTTGTCTCATTTTCTTCGAACGCTGATAAATCAGCTCTGGTCAATAGCATTTCTCTCCCTATCTCGTTTAACTGGAGCTCTCTCGCTCTGCGCTCTGGCTGGACACGGCTCTCATGGTTTGCTGCTGACCTTGGCGGCTTCCCATCACTCCCAGTCCAAGGTTCCACTCAAATCCTTAGAGCTGGAGGCTGCGTCTTCATCTTCACCTGCAGGCCCATTAATTATCAAATGGAATCAATACCCCATTTGATTCGATCAAACTGACCCTACCCGCCCCGACCCGCAACGGTGAAGCGGAAGGGATGCTCGACAGGCCCCTGAGATCTTACATTTGTCTTTCACAAGAGAAATTTTGTGTTTCTTTTTAAATAACATTTTAAATAGCCAAAGAGTGACTAAGGGATTGAAAGATCGAGAGAGGAAAATATACCAGTAATTTTCACATTTTCTCAACCCTTGAAGCTCTAAGGACATAAGCAATCATTCAACAGTGACAAAATTAGTTGTTCACAAAGAAAGTTAACAGCATCCCTTTCTCTATATATTTTGCACTTTTCCCTATAGAGGAAAAAAATCACAATGAGATCTCTTTAATATCTCTGTTTTGTTTTCAGGGGGATTTCTAGACAGCAGTGAGATTAAATGGAGGGCCCATGGGGATTTTTATCTTCTGCTCAGACTCTTCTACTAAAAAATAAATAAATACTCAGAAATCTTCATGTGTCTCTTCCAGAGTTTCTGTAATAATGTCTCACATTCAGATGTGCCAACATAAATCAGAGATTTCAATATAAACTTCCAAGACTGAATGATTCAGATTTCATTTACTCAGGTTGGATGTGCACAGTTCTATAACTTCTGAAAAGGAACAAACTATGAAGAAATAATATGCATTTCAAAATATTAAAGAATTGCATTAGTTAACTGAATACTGCTCAATCCGAAACACACACAGTGTTCGGCCCCTTAGGCAGGGAACGGGTCCTGAAACACACATAGGTTCAAACAGCCACACACCACTGTGCCTACAGTCTATATCCAGCCATATTAGTGCATTTAAACATCCCTTTATCATTGAAAACACCTGTGCGAAGCAGTGTACCACATCAGTGGGAATAAGAGGATTTTGCACTATTATGGATATATACAGAGTGTATGTTTGTCGCTTTTCCCCCACACGGACAACTGCAAAATATGTGTGTGAATCACATAAAACCTTTCATGATCATGTCTGTTCATTTTAAAATCAAAAGAAAAATGTTGCATTAAGAAAATGAAGCTTACAATGAACTGATACATTATTTTAATGCCAATAAATCACATTTCCCCCAAAATGTGTTACTTTAATGCAATAAAAGTGTACACTTTTGTGTGTGTGTGTGTGTGTGTGTGTGTGTGTGTGCGTGTGCGTGTGCGTGTGCGTGTGCGTGTGCGTGTGCGTGTGCGTGTGCGTGTGCGTGTGCGTGTGCGTGTGCGTGTGCGTGTGCGTGTGCGTGTGCGTGTGCGTGTGCGTGTGCGTGTGCGTGTGCGTGTGCGTGTGTGTGAGTGTGAGTGTGTGTGTGTGGGTGTGTGTGAATTTGTGGGAAATAAGCTTATTTGTAAAGAAAACACTGTCTCAATGCAAAAACGTTCGAAAATATTAATTTAATTTAATTTAAACTTTTTTTTGTTAATTTCTATTTTTATTATTGTCATTAATTTATTTTGTGGTGAAATGCAACCTAAACATTTTCATGAGCTTCACCTTTGTTTTCAAAAATATATTGACAATATCTGATCTCTGATATATCTGATATATCTGATATATCGTTAGGCTCTCTCTCTCATTTGTGTGATGCTTATGTGCAGGTTATGGATTATGAGCGATCATTTTCAGGCTGCAGTAGATCAAAAGCAGTTAGTAAGAGCACATCTCCGTGACTGCAGAAGACTGAGGGGTCTGTATATCGACAGGGCTCTTGTTTGTTTGTGTGAGTGTGTTTATAAGGGCATATTGATGTGTGTGTGTGTGTTGTATGTTGAGTATATAAATATCCACGCGTGTCCCAGCTGAGCTGGGTGTGAGTGGCAGGAAGTGGTTATGTAAGGAGTCACAACGGGCTGCAGTGGACAGCCTGACCACAGATCAGGTCAACCAAGTGTGACACCAACAGCTTCTCACTGACACCTCGCTGACACTGTCTGTCACCAGGCCTGTCTGTCCCACTCTGAGTGTGTGTGTGTGTGTGTGTGTGTGTGTGTGTGTGTGTGTTTGTGTGTGACGGCTTTTATGGTCCTATAGCTCCCTCGTACATACCTGGATAACTTCTGTCAATTCCCTATTCACGTTCTTTTGCCCCCAAATGCAAATATAGTCTTTGGATGTGTATGCTTTATAAACAGGGCGGCTCACTCTCAATAAAATTGCCATTTTTGGATCTGTGATTAATACACTTACTCTGTTAAATTATGGTAACCGTTTGTAACATGTTTCTTCAGCAAACACTGTACAACCAGAATCTAAACAACAACAAAAAAGAAAGACAATTTATCCTCGCCAAGGTACACAATAAAAATTGTACAAAAAAAAATGCTTCAGGTAATCTAAAAAAAATTGTGATATGTACTGTAGTAACATATAAATAAACAATTTTTATTCAAGTGAAAAATACAATTTAATATGACTGAATAACATTGTATTACTCTACATAATCACATTCATTTTAAACTGCTTTGTCAGGTAGATGTAATTTTTAATTTTTACAGTGTTCCGAAAAGTACATTAAAGAGCAACAGGTAGATTCCCAGACTAATATGAAGCTACTGACCGCAACACTCAGTCAAAGCAAACTGATGAAAAGAAAACAGCAAGCAGACTTCCTCCTTAATCTAAAAGCACAGAGTCCCAAGCAAGTTTACTCACTTTTTGTGTTTTTCCTGTGCAGCGGCTCCCATAGCAAGTGTAAAAGTGTCCAAATAATTCCTGTCCTATAATTCCTACTGTCCAGGATAGCTATACGACAAATAAAGAGTATGACTTTTCTGTTTACTAAGCAATCTAGCTGGAAAATACACTTTATAACTGAAAACTGTAGTTACACGTTACAATATAGTTTGTTACATTGTAATAACATTGTAAGTGCATGGTAATTACTGAGTAATAGTGAAAAATGTAGTAATGTGTAAATATTTTGTGGAGCTGCTTAAACTTTGTCATTATTTTTACTGTAGTAATTCATTATATTCACATGCAATCTGTAACATGAATATATAAAAATAAAAGGACTTGAATAAAGGTTACTTGATAGTAATCTAAAGTGTTGCCAATATCAAAAGAATTACATTTTCTAAAATGTGTGACAAATAAGAATAGATTTGTGAGCTAACACATTATTATTATTATTATTATTATTAAAATGATTGTTATTACTTTTCTTCTTACAATATTAATAAACAATTTAACAAAAAAGTGTATTTTTGATTTTTTTTTCTTAACAAAATTAAGTTTTAACTTAATTAAAACACATAATTACAACTATTCAGATTCTTTAACAATCCCACGCTAAGCCCAAACTGACTGATGAAGCAAAAGGTTAATATTTACCCGTGTTTTTCATTTCTAATATAAATCCAGTCATTTAGAAGAAGCTGTTAAATCCAAAGACATCAGATAACAGAAGACGTCCGTCTCGCCGCTACCATTCACTACCTTCCACAGAACACGGCGTCAATGCAAAGCGCACTAATCTTGTAAAATCCACTAATTAAGTGAGAGATGATGTTTTGAGAGCGAGCCGAGGCGGTCCGCACAATTAACCCCAGCGTCCCTCCCCTCCGTTCCCAATACCTACATCATTGAGGGAGAACGACAAGTGCACTTATGAGCAAAGTGTCTTTCCCAAAACTTTCCCAGGAAGCCAAGCCTCCAGGCACGAAGACATCAACAAGTTTAAGAGGAACGGAGAAACCCTTTGCTCGGACCTACATCGGTGAGGCTTAAAACTTTCAGGTATGCATGTGACAGTTTGGCATGTGGACATCAACATCGACTAGAACAAGAGGAAGGTGTGTTTCCCACTACAAGGGGACTCACCTGATGTGCATGTCCAGCTGTTTTGGAGGCAGATGTTTCTCTCCTCCTCTGTCCGGACACCCGAACCGGTGACCCTCCCCTCCACTCAGTCCACGTTCCAGGACCCCTCGCGCTCCCACACACAAACACACACACTCACACGGGGGGTGACAAGGAGGTCAGACGGGGCCAAGAACAATCCCAGCTGCCGGCACAAAAGAGCAGGCGAACACACAGCGGTCTGCTGCCGCAAGACTGTGTGTGTGTGTGTGTGTGTGTGTGTGTGTGTGTTTGTGGGCACACAGCGGCGGTGACCACGCTCTCCCTCTCTCTCCTCCCTCACTTTCCAAGCGGGATCGTCTCAGATATGACTTGAGGATGCGAGTCTGTTTCCTTCTCTGGCGTGCTCCCCGCTTTGGCTGTCTCTCTTTCCTCGTTGAGCTTCTTTTCTTTTCATTTCCTCTTGGGAAAGCTGCACGCACCGGTCGCCTCTTCACCCGCTCCCTCTCTCTCTCTCTCTCCTCAATCGCTAGTAAATATAAAAGAAATGCTTGTACGGCCCCTACCTCTCTCTCTCTCTCTCTCTCTCTCTCTCTCTCTCTCTCTCTCTCGTTTCTTTCTCGTTTACACTCCCTCCTCCCCACTGCCCTCACTTTTCTTTCTCACTGTCAAAGCTGCCTTTCAAATGCTGATTAGCACACAGAGTAAAAGAGAGCGAGGGAGAGTGGAGTTATGGTTAGTGTTCGGCTAAGATTCCGTCACATTCGACTTGAACAACACTTCTCTCAGACAAACACATACTTGAGTCTCCGTCCTCTACCGATATCATCTCGCCCCAATGGGCTCACGCTAACATACATTGAGCGAATAAACCCGCTCGGACTGTTTCGAGCACCCGCGCCCCTCTTCCACCCCTCCCCAGTTCGTTCTTCTTGCCCTCAAACACTACTCAGAATATTGATACATCACCCCCTCCTCCTTTCTTTCCTCCATTTCTCTCTCTCTCTCCATCACTCACTTTCTCCGCTGAATACTGATAGGCTGTCTAGTCCGTGGTCTGGGTTTCAAATTCTCATTCTCTTTCTCTCTTTCCTCTGTGCGCTCTCACAAAAGCTCTCCGTAACATAAAGGCAAAAACGGCAGAAGTTAATGCACTGGGCACAACATAAATTCACTTAAGTACCATTTCAGATTATGTCAAGCCAAAAATTGGCATAAGCGCTCCGGAAGGAGGAGAAAAGAATGCCTGCGGCTGTAAAATGTCAAACGTGATGGGATATTAAGAAAATAAAGAAGTGCGTGAAAATTAGTAAGGGAACACTTACTTTTGCTGTTGTCAGGGAGCGGGACAGAAAGAGATAGTGAGTGAAAGAGAGAAAACCATAGAAACCATAGAAGACCCCCTCAGAAGTTTAAACAGCTGACTGCAAAGTTGTCAAAATCACATCCGATAGCACAAACACACACATTTTTCCAGCTGAATGAGGACGTACCATCAGTGATTCTCAACACTAAGCCTCAAGTCTGTTCTGTTGTGGGTATAATCAGAATGAGCTTTTAGGATCAGAATCAGAAGTTATAGTAATATAGTATAGTAATATAATATAATATAGTAGAGAATAGTGGGGCACACTTTTGACTTTCTCAGTTTGTGTAACTGATCTACTTGGGGTTCAAGAGTATTTCTTTTTTCTGCATTCATTTCACATATTTAGTACAAATATGTTGTCTTGTTTCATTAAAGGAGACATATTATGCCCCATTTTACAATATGTAATATAAGTCGCTGGTGTCCCCAGAATGTGTCTGTGAAATTTCAGCTCAAAATACTCCACAGATCATTTATTATACCATTTTGAAAATGCCTATTTTGAGTGGAAGCAGAAACATGCTGTTTTTCAGGCCTGTCTCTTTAAATGCAAATGAGCAGCTGCTCCCCGCCCCCTTTTCCAGAATAGAGCTGGGCCTTTACAGCTTGTACCTGTTAAAAAAACATCTGTTTAGGTTCTGATTATCATGTTTAGCGCCCTGAAATCAAGCGTTTTAAACCATATGAGTTTAAACTTCTGATATGCGGTTTTCTGAGAGCACACATCCGAAGCACACGGACAGAAAGTGGCTGTCACAGCATGTGAGTACTAAACTAAGTTCTCATTCACACAAAAGTTCACGTTAAAAACACACACTGAGTTACAAAAACAGTCGGTTATGTCTGTGAAGGTAAACTGCTGGGAAATAAATCTCATGTTTATTTTAGATCTGTGTGGCAGCAGCAATATACAGTAAATAAATCGATAAATCCACTGCTCTCTTGTCTCCTCTGAGGCTGTTCTGTGCTCGTCTGTGCAGCCAACGACAGAACAGTTGGCATGCTTTGCTCAAACTTCACCATGGCATTAGAACTAGTACACCGTTGTCGCTTGCGAAATCAAAATGATGGCGCCGTGGGTGTAAACTTACAGATTAAGGGGCGGTAATATTATAATGAGATCCCTTTGCCACGTCACCAAGAGAGCGAAATCAGACGCGCTCGTTTTCGCAGACGCTTGCAGAAAAAGGCTTACCAAAACAAAGTTACTGGGTTAATCTTTTTCACGTTTCCTTGGTTGGTAGATGCACTGGGGCCCTGATTATAGCACTTAAAACCTGGAAAATCAGATTTTCATGATATGTCACCTTTAATAGACTGTATACTTTTTTATTTATTTACCCCAAAAGATTGTAAGTGAATTGTGACAACATGCCCCATAGGTGGGGAATGCTGTAGGATGACCATATAACAGCTTAAAATGTTATCTGATCCAATCAAAAATATAGAAGACAAACTAAAATATTCTGTCATAAAATACAATTGTTACATTTTTACATGTAATTGCATTGTTAATAATTAAAATATTGATTTTGGAGTTTGACAATGAACACACTGCAAAACAGAACTATATAGCACAGTTCAAAACAATGTGGGCAAATCGATGAAGAAACATATTCAGAGACTGACAAAAACACAGAAATGAACACAACACAGCCCTATCTCCACATGCAGCACTCAGACAAATAGACAGGCCAGTACAAATACTTTAAATTTCTTGAAATAATTTCTGAATATTCCGTTTTTATTCATAGTTTCTCAATAAGATAATATACATAATAAGTTATGTATGTGAATCACATTGCTAATGTCATAGAATAACATCTAATAACGGGAAGCATTTTAATGCAAGTTACAATGTGCCCACCTGCGCAACTAAGACTTAAACCTGGCTAGTTAACAGACTGAAGATTAAAATAATAGCAAATTTGTCTCATTTTAAATAAGCACTAAGAACTTAAAGAAAACTTTAGAGTTATGTTTACTTTTCATAAAAAAATAATGTCAAATGTGAAAAAAAAATCTTAATGGTCCTAAATTGGCCTCTTTTAGGGCTCAAAATTTAATTTAATATTTAAATATGATTATATTTTAAAATTTCTTATTTCTGTCCATAATTACCAATGACTTATCCAAACCCAAACTCTACAAAGTTTTTGCAGTTTTAAAATAATTTTAAAAAATACATACACAAACACAACACAACTCAGTGTCCACAGACACAAGAACATGAACGTGATATGACACAGAGAAAAGTGCAGCTGCAAGAGTATAAGAGAAAGACAACAGCAGTGTAGAGTAAGTCACTGAATCCACTGTCCAGTGTCCTTGATGCAAAGATTCAGACAGTGTTTTAACGCAGGGTGTTATTGTCCATATGATTTTACACACACACACACACACACACACACACACACACACACAGAGAGAGCAGTGTCCTCTCCTGATGTCCTCACCTGGACCATTTCAGTCCTGGCACAGGCCCAGTATTCACTCACTGTATTAACATCAGCTTCTGCCATAGAACAACTCTGCTTCCACCATCACTGAACCACAATAAATTGGGGGAGAAAAAAAACAAACATTTCTAATCTTCAAAAGTGTGCCAAAGAATTAAAAGAATGGTTCACTCAAAAATGAAAATGTTACCATTACAAAGCTGTATGCTTTTTATTCTTCTTTAAAGGGTTAGTTCACCCCAAAATGAAAATTCTGTGATTAATTACTCATCCTCATGTCGTTCCAAACCCGTAAGACCTTCGTCCATCTTCAGAACACAAATTAAAATATTTTTGATGAAATGTGAGAGCTCTCAGACCCTGCGTAGACAGTAACGCAACTGTAATGTCCCCTGGTCCAAAAACATAGTAAAGACATCTGTAAAACAGTCCATGTGACATCAGTGGCTAAACTTCAGTTTTGTGAAGCTACGAGAATACTTTTTGAGTGCAAAGAAAACAAAAATAACAATTTATTTAACAATTCTTCTCCCCCGAGTTACGTCTTCCGCCATTTTGGAGAGTACCCAAGAGCGTAATCGACGTAATCAGCGTTGTTTACGTTCGGGGGAGAAAACGCATGCATGAATGTAATCTGCGTAATCAGCGTTGTTTTTACGCTTAGAATTGTTAAATAAATTGTTATTTTTGTTTTCTTTACGCTCAAAAAGTATTCTCGTAGCTTCGCAAAACTGAAGTTAAGACACTGATGTCACATGGAATAGACCAATTATAGGTTTGTAAACATTCAGGATGCACGCGCATCATGGTTGCAGAAAGCCCGGGAGAGATAGCCATTACGGCTAGAGAATTTCACGGATAGGGTCCAAAATAGTTAAGTTTAAAAAGATTATAAATTATATTGATTAGATGTCATTTTCAAAATGTTCTCCGCATATTACAAGAGCTTGTCACCCAGCGATAAGCACTGTTATTCAAAGAAATTGACGTTAGAGAGTGGGTTAGTCTTACAGATCCGAAACAGGGATGACGTTTTTTGTGGGCGGAGCCTATCTGGAGGCAGAAAATGACGGTTTTCAAGTGGCAGTCTATGGAGCCATGGAATAAAATAATTAAAAAAAGGTAAATTTGATTTTATATTTAAAAATTCTGACTTTATTCTCGCAATTCCGAGATTATATCTCACAATTCTAATAAGGAAAAACAACTCGTCATTCTCTCTTTTCCCCTGGGCTCTTCTGGCTTTTTTCCCTCAGATTTGACAAACTCGCTATTTTTGAGTTAAGTCGAGTTATAAAGTCCGAATTAGGAGATACAAACTTGCATTTGTGAGAAACAAAGTCAGCAAAGTTGTCTTTGACAACAGTACTCTATAAAAAATTATTTGCATTCGGATCTTGACATCAAATTATGTCTTATGTATTATAT